GCCTCCAGTGGCCCTTCAGGATTCTTGCTGAAAGGTTAATTACCAGACCATCCCATCAAAGGAAATTGCACTTCTGTGCCTTAAAGACCAAACTGAGCTTCAGCAACATAGTTATTTATGGACTCTAATAAGCATTTTCTGGGTGTGATTAACCTTTATGCCAAAGTCACACTGGGAATTGGGATGGCAGCTTCAATTCTAGCCATGCTGTGTGCTGGCCAGGGGGTGGGGGCATGTACAGCAGCTGGAGCAGCCTGGAGCCGGCAGACAGCTGTCACACTCCGGCCCGCCCACCCCGCCCTCTCCGTGGCTCCTGCGCCCTTCCCTCCCTCTCTGCCCATCGCTTCTTCCTGTGCCCTGCCCTGATCCATCCCCCTCCGTCCTTCATCCACTTGAAAAACAGACCTGATAGCCTGCTTACTGGGCCGTAGTCTCCACTCAGCTGCTAAAAACAGTTCTGTGACCTTGGGCACCTCAACTATAAAACCCCTGTAAAATGGGGAGCATGGAACTTGCTCTGTCTGCTTTCCACAGCACAGTGCCGCTTCCGTGTCAGCGACCCCTGGGCCCTAGGACGGTCAGTTTATGTGATGCTGTGATCGAGCCACAGCACGCCCTTGACCTTCTCAGATTTAACATTCCGGCTTTCGCTCTCTGGCGAGTGGAGAGATTTGCAGCTGAGGTGCGGGTTTTATTTGGGGGCCTCGGGGCTGCCAGGCTGGCACACAGAAGTGAGGATCTACCTCGTGAGTGAGCCTAGCGCCTGCCAGCTTCAGATCCTCAGTCCCATTTTGGTTTTCTCTCCACCTCACCAAGTCCTGAGAGCTTGGTTTGTCAAAAACGGTTCTGAAAGCAGAGCCAGCGGCTAAGGCTGATGACAGAGGGGTCCAAGAAAGTGGCGATTCTTAAGGTCAAAACCACTTTTGGTTTACTTTGAGAGACGATGACATGTCCAGTTTGGTGAAGCCCAGGCCTCTGATGTGACCCTACTCACCACATGCTCCAGCCATATTTTTTTGGAGTGCTAGACCTCACCACAGAGTGAAGGAAGCTCTTCACCCTCCCCAGGAAGATGGTCAGCATTACACGCAACATTCTGCATTTAATTACAGGGTTTCATCCCCTCCCCTGCCTCGTGTGTTTGCAGACACCAGATTAAGAATTCACAGCTTTAGCAGGACACAAACAACAACCTTGAAACTTCAGGGGCTTGTCCCTACAGGGCAATACTCTCCTGTTGGTGGAGTTGGAAAACTAGTGAAAGTTGAAGAGGAGATCAACGTATGGTAGAAGGAAATACACAGGAAAACTCTGGACTTTTCATGAAACTGTGATTCAGGAATAAGCCAGGAGCCTTGACAAACCCTTCCGCAGAGCCAGAGGTGTCACAGGCCCAGATTCGTACAGAGCCAACATTTCCTGAGAGGAGAGATTGGTTTGGGAATTTTAAGAAACGTTTTTCTGTGCATAGTGCAAAACCGGCCCTCTATTGGGAGAAAATGACTGTGAACTAGCACATCCAAGGAGAGGGAAGGGTCAGGGTTACAGTCAGCCAGCCAAGGGCAGGCTCCATCCCGTGGCATTTGCTTTGGATTCATGATGAATCTGGAGGTGCCCTGCTCCTCTGTGAACCCCAGGACATTCAGATGCGAGGCTAAGACCTTCTGGCTGGTGTATTTGCCATCTGATTAGAATCCTGGGGCGTAAGTGCATTGTACTGAGGCAATTCCATGCATTTGGGACTGGTCTGAGTTCTCTGATTGCCAGGGTCTAGCACATGTACAGAGGAGACCTGGGCATATTGACGGGGGACCGAGCTGCTTTGCTTTGGAGGGTCGGAGAAGGTGCTGCCGCGGGGAGGGGCTCTGGACCTGGCGTTTGAGGACTGCAGACTTCACCAGGTGGGCCAGGGTGATGAGGGGGCAAAAGTGTGCAGACACCAGCAGGACCCCACATGCTGGGGAAGCAATAAGTAATTCAGCGTGAATAAAACGTGGTGTGCTTTCAAGGAGAATGTGAAAGACTGAAACACAAAGCACAGCTTCAGGCTTAGAAGGATAGCGATGGAATGTCAGGCAGCAGGGCTGACATTTTCACGTAGGGTGTTACCGGTTCCTTTAATTTGCCTGCGGCTGAGCTGCCTCTGGGAGCCCCATTTCCATGCTGTGTGTGTACATGTGTGTCTGTGCTGGGAGGTGGCAGAGGCAGGGGTGGGTGACAAGCCGTGGGTGGGTGTCTCTAGTCCCCTTCTAGAAGAGGCCTCTGGCCATCCCAGCTGATTGGCCCTCTCTGGGGACAGCTCAGAGCTGGGTCCCTGCTGACTGTCAGCGAGGACACAGCTCTCCGCTCGGCACGCAAGAGCCAGTGGCGGGCCTGGTGGCTTCCTCCTCTCTCCGCTTCTGCGTTTTGAAGTGGAAAAGGAGGGTAAAGATATTTCGCCATCTCTCCGGGGACAGTGAAGTTTAATTAGTGATTAATAAAGTGTTGGAAGTTCCTTGGGGCCAGAGAGATGAATGGGTTTGTTCTAATCACTCCCGAGTCCCAGGAGCGAGTTAGCTGACCCCAGCGCCGTTGGCTGAGGCCAAGCGCTGGGCATAGGATGGGGGTACAGGACCGGGGGGTGGACCTCGGAGCCTGGAGCTTGGCCCAGAGCAGAAAGACCCCTATGATGTGACAGGAGGAGTGTGCCAGCGAGGGGATAAACAAACCCACTGCGGACCTGGGCACAGCACTGAGGGGACAACGTGGGGGAGTCATCAGGGTCAAAGGGGGGGCTTCCTACAGGAGGTGTGGGTGGAACAGGTCCTGACCAGGAGTGGGGAGCATTCGATTCCATCTTGGGTGGGAGAGCGGGGAGCAGGGTCTGTCTTTGTCATCAGACGGCGGGAGTGGGCAGGTGGGTGGCACAGGTCGTGAGGGTCTGGGGCGCAGGGTGGAGGCCAGTTTGGGAAGAAGGTACGGCAGCAACAGGGTCAGGACTTGGGTGAGGCAAGTGAGGCACTTTTCTCAAGCATGGAATTTAAAGAGCTGCCCCAAAGTGCAGTATCAAGATAAATCATATTTTAATATTATTACTGATTTTTCCGTTTACCCAAGGCTCCAGTATGGCCCAGCACTGTTAGTGATCCTGGCTTTTTAAAAAAAGCTTTTGATATGTTGTTCATCATGGATTTTTTTGCATTAATTTAGAGTTTAAAAGAATATTGCATTAAAATATTATGTATCTTGACTACTAAGTTTTCTGGTGCCCCCCCCCTCTTAAATTTTGCACTGGAGGTGAATGCCTTGGTCTCCTCACCCTAGTCCTGGCCCTGCGGTTGAGGTCTGCAAATGAGGGCTGCGAATGTGTGCTGCTCGTGTTGGCCACCACCCTAGCTCTACTCTAAATTAGAAACTTGCTCACGTGGGACTCGGACAAGTCCCTACCTCTCTCACGAGCTCATTTTCCCCTGTGAAATGGCTAAGGCTGCTTCCAGATCGAAGTGTCCCTGTCTGAAGCTCTGCAGTGAATTTTGCAGAACTGTTTGGAAATGGGCTGGTGCTGAGACACCATGGCAGGTTGGGGGGCAGTGGGGAGGAGAGGAGATGGTCCCGGGGAGGGGACCCCAGGAAGGAAGAGCAGAGGAACAGGGGTGGTGATGCGGAGAGCAGCCTCCCATGAAGTCAGGGAGACAGGGCTCTGCTGGTCCTTGGGCTCTCATGTCCTGACAACTGGAGGGGGGGCTAGTTACAATCCTCCACTACCCCAACCCCCCACACGCTCCTTAGCCCTTCACAAATCAAATCCCAAGGGAAACAATCACCTCGCCTCCAACCCGTGACTAAATAAGAATCACCAAGTTCAAATCAATCAGCGTGACCTACTGAGTGCCTCTTGTAGACCTGAAACACAATGTAACTCATTAATATATTCAGCAAATTAGAATGCAATAAACAAAACAAAATCCCTCCCATCTTGGATCAAGCTGTGCTGCTCACAGAGGACTTCTACATACACTGCATCCTGTAAGCCTGGCGGAGTGGTGGTGGGGTGGCTATTACACCCGTCTTTACAGGTGAGGAAATCGAGGCACAGAGAGGTCAAGTAACCTGCCCATGGCAACACAGTGAAACTGGGGCTGGATGCCAGGTCTCTTTTGACTCTAAATCCACAGGGAAGGTGTTGACCTTAAGGGAGGGGACACAATGATTATGTGCGGGTGTTAGTTGAAGAAGTGGGCAGCCCTCTAGGTGTGAGGCCCATGCTACTCTCCCCAGGTGGGCTGAAATTTTGGAATCAGAGTGACACAGAGTCCCCAGGGAGGGTAAGAGGCAAAGATTCTCCCTGGATTAGGGCAGGCATCTTTCCAGACACATTTATCCCTTCACCTCTCTGGGCCTCAGCTTCCTCATCAGGGACAGCCAGCCCCACAGAGAATGAAGTACCGTCGCGGATATAAAATGACTTGGTAAATGGTGAGGCACGATTTGTAGTGACCAGTAATTAGCTGGGTGGGGATGAGGGCCCGGGAGGCAGCTCATTAAACCACAGGTCCTGAGCTCCTGCAGCTGGGGAGGGAGGGAGGCTCACTAATGGGGGTCTTCTGTGAGCCCATGCGGGTGGGGGGGTGCTGGGGGGGGCAGGTGGGAGGGTGTGGGTGTGGGTGTGTCGGGACACTCCTGTGCCACCTTTGAGACCCTGTGAGGATGGAGGTGGCTTGCTCAGGCAGAGCCTCTCTGGAGGCCCCCAGCCCTCAGGGAGAAAGTTCCCCTCTGTCCTGGGAACCTGGGCTCCTGCTGTCACCTGCCTCCCTTTCAGGCCCCTCAGAGAGCAGGGCAGCCCCAGACCTCGTAGGCAGAGAGGACACGGAGGAGGGGGGGAGGGAGGCTGGGCCGGTGGGGGAGGGGTGTGTGTCTGGGATGAGACGTGTATGAAGGGGACAAGAGGGGCAGCAGGAAGCTCCAGGCCAGACAGCTCATGACACAGTCGAACTGTGTCCCTCACCTCCCTGTGCCCACAGACCCTTCTCCTCCTGGGGCTGCACTCCATCTCCGCCTCCCTCCAGGACCAGCACTGCGAGAGCCTATCCCTGGCCGGCAACATCTCTGGTGAGCACCCCCACCTGCCTCCTGCAAGATTCCAGGTCCCCAGCCCCCCACCCCCAGGGCTCCCAGAGCCTGCACACAGAGCCATGCCCTGGGGCAGGAACAGCGGAGAGATTTCCCCTCTGGGGCTCCAAGCAATCCATCATTTATCCACGGAGTGCTGTGTTGAGCGGGATCCTGAAGGTGGGTGTAAGTGTGGTGGGAAAGAGCTGCGATTAGGTGACAGCATCAGCCAGGGGCACAGAGGGGCTCGGGGCAAGCGTGCCAAGTAGCTATCCTCCCTGCTTTGGGGTGGACAACGGGGGAAGTCGCCCCAGCCCTTGCAGCCGTGAGAACCAACAGAGCGGAGGGCTGGGCTGTGACTCAGGCATCAGTGAGGAAGAAAGCCTGCTGTTTGCTGCTGCTAAAAATGCCTGAAGCATAATATGTAGGGCGCTCTGCGTGGGGCACCGTCCGAGGTATTTGAGATACAGCTCTTCCTTGACTTACAATGGGGTTACGTCCAGATAAACTTACCATAAATTGAAAATATCGTAAGTCAAAAATTCATTGAATACACCTAACCTACCGATCAGCATAGCGTAGACTAGCCTACTTTGAAATGCTCAGAACACTTACATTAGCTACAGTCAGGCAGAATCAACTGACACAAAGCCTATTTTATAACAGTGTTGAACATCTCTTGTAATTTATTGGACACTGTACTGAAAGTGAGAAACGGAATGGTTGTCTGGGTACAGAGCGGTTGTCAGTGTGTCCGCTGTTTACTCCCATGATCGCGGGGCTGACTGGGAGCTGCTGCACCTGCCACCGCCAGCATCACGAGAGAGGATTGTACCACATATTACTAGCCTGGGAAAAGGTCAAAGTTCAAAATCTGAAGTGTGGTTTGTACAGAATGCATATTGCTGTCAAGCCGTCGTACAGTCGAAAAATCATTAAAGTCGAACCATCGTAAGTCGGCGACCATCTGTATATTCACCCAGTTTTTACGACCTCCTGAGGCAGGTGCCGTTCTCCTCCTTTTACACATAAGGAAACTGAGGCACGGAGCAGAACTAGTAAGTGCTGGAGCTGATTTGAGCCCAGGAAGCCTGGCTCGCGGATACGTTCTTTATCACCGTGCTCTAGCCCTCCTCGATAGAAAATACTGCTTAATTGCAAATATTACTAATACTTGTATAACTTCACCATTTACAAAGTGCTTTTGTAAAATAATCTTATTTCATCCTCACAAGAGTTTAAGATGAGATATTTGTACAGATGAGGAAACTGAGGCATGGGAGAATTTGGTTTTTGGGCTCCTAAGGCCATGCCTTTTCTAATTTGGGGTGTGGTCCTTGAACCCTCATCCTGGTCCCTTTAACCAGGGTCCTGGGGATGCTGCTGCCCAGCGAAGGTGGAGAGGTGCACCTGAGGGTCTTTGGGAGGCTTGTTCTTTGGTGATTCATTTTCCTCTGCAGGTCTCTCTCCTTGATTCAATCCAACTCATTAACTGAGCACCTACTGTGCGCCAGGCCCCATGTTCCCTGGGAGAACAAAGAGGAGCTCACAGTCTGGTACGGGAGTCAAGTGCACAAACACACGTGCTATGAGGTGCAAGGCCCGCGCTGTTGGAGAAATGGCCACCACGTGCTAGCAGGGAAGCAGGGGGTTTCTGAACCTGGGCCTGCGGGGAGAGGAGGCTTCCACAGCTCCAGGCAGCTGCCCACTGGCCTACTGTTCCCTCAGTAGGGTGGGGGTTGGGGGGCGAGAGAATGAGCACTAGACCTGGAGCACCGACTGGGTTCCCATGCTCATAGTGGTGCTCAGTCTTGTCCTGTGTGCCCTAGGGCCCCCCACTGGCAGCCACAGGGGTGAGTGCGCCTTTGACTCCCTTGAGCCTCACTTTGCAGTTATAGAGTAGGGTGGGAGGGCTGACACCTGCCTCAAGGATCTGTTATGATTAAATGCACTATGTTTAATGGCAATATTTCACAAACTGTAGAGTGCCACACCACTACTGAGTATTATTTATTATTGTTGGTAAGAACAGGCTTTTAAAGTGCTTACTGTGTAGCTGGAATGAGGGGCAGGCACTTGCCATGAATTGCTCACTACAATGGAGGTGGCAGGGAGGTTAGATTGGGGTGGTGTGAATTCAGGAAGCCTTCCTGAAGGAAGAGGTTTCAAGGTAAGTCTCTGAGAGACTCTGAGCAGGGACTGGCAGAGAAGAGCCAATGCTCTGAGCTGAAGCTAGAGTTGACTGAGGACTAGCAGGTGGGTTTGGTGGAAGAACAGGGGAGGGGTCGGGAGGGGAGAGCAATAAGCCTGGGGAGGTCCTGGGAGCCCAGAGCATCTGCCTGCAAAGTTGGCTAAGCTGGGCCATGAGGAACAGAAAGTTCTTGAGCAAGAGTCTGGAGAAAGACCGGGAGGGAAGAGACCTGCTCGGAGGCCTGGCCTGAGAAGAAGCTCCCCCTGATGCAGCCCCTTGCACGGCAGCCAGGTCAGTCTCCACTGACTCGCTTATTGTGTTCCTGCGCAGTGACAACCCTGAGCCCACGAAGGTGTCACCTGTCCTTGGAGGCAGCAGGCCGTGATGAATGTCGTTCATTTCCCGATGATTTGTACTCTGTGCCCCTACCCCCAGCCCAGCGCAGCCTGCCTGGCTTCAGGGCACACAATCCATCAATCCCTCCACGGCAGCCTCTGAAAATGGGCTATTTGTCTTCCAACGCTAAGACCTACCCAGACTGATGGGCACTGGTGGAGACAGATGGTGAGGGTGGGGTGGAGGGACTGAGACAGATGGATGGGCGTCTGGCCGGGGTGGCTGGCACTGAGCTGGGGCCTTTGGGGGGCCTCTCACATGCCAGGAGCAGGGAGAAGGTGGGTCCCCAGGGCTGAGGCTCCATCATGTGGCAGATCACAGACTTGACAACTCATAAAATCATGGCATGAATATGACGATGCCAGAAAGTAATAGAATTATTGACCCATGACATCAGAGATAAATGGAATCATAGCACTGACAAGGACTCAGGGTCATCTCCTGTCTTAAGGTCATGAATATAATAATTAATGTAATAACTAATAATAACAACTAATGTTTACTTAGTGCCTATTGTATGTTAGACACCATTCTAAGTGCTTTAATCTCATTCAGTCATCAAACAATACTGTTAGGAATTTTATTTTATTTCTTTTTTTTTTTTGCGGTACGCAGGCCTCTTACTGTTGTGGCCTCTCCCGTTGTGGAGCACAGGCTCAGCGGCCATGGCTCATGGGCCCAGCCGCTCCGCGGCATGTGGGATCTTCCCGGACCGGGGCACAAACCCGTGTCCCCTGCATTGGCAGGCGGACTCTCAACCACTGCGCCAATCAGGGAAGCCCAGGAATTATTTTTATCATCATCTTACAGAAGAGAAACGTACAGCTCAGAGACGTTACGTAATTTGCTCAAGTACACACGGTTACTAAGCAGTAGCCCCGAGATTTGAATCAAGTGGCCTGATTCTGGACTTTCCCGCCACCATGTATGTGGTCACCTGGAAAGTCGCGGTACCCAGGGCCCACTATGGTCAATCCTCCAGGGGTGCAGAGACGCCCCTGCAGTTTCCCATACCTATACTGGGTTTACACACAGCTCCCAGTGTTCCTCAGAACCTACAATGTGCCTGACACCATACTAGGTGCAAAACTGAAGAGCCCATAGACCCACGGGACCGGAGGCTCCCGCCCACTTGTCCTGATGAATCACACACCCTACAAAGGCATCTTTCTATTCTGCCCAGCCAAGGAGAAGACAGTCCAATGACAAAGTGGCTGAGCAAAGAGCAGGACTGTCTGCCTGGCCTCTCTATGCCAGGTGACACAGGCAGAGCCCCTGCCCATTCATCCCAGCAGCACCTTCCTGGAATGAGCAAGCATGTGTGTTTCAGAGACTGCCCTTGGGCCACTTGGCTGCCCCTCTGGGCAGCCTTGGCTGAGTCTCCCTCCTGGGCTTAAACCAAACAGGGGGATGGGCTTCCCAGCTGCAGGGCTGCTGCCACGTGCCCACCTACCCTAGTTCATTCAGAAGCCCCTGATGGGAGACCCGACATAACTGGGGACAGGAACCAGGTTCCAACCTTTCTTGGAAGTTATCTGCTATGGAAAGATTTGCTGAGTACATTTGGCCCTGAGCCTGATGGGAAGCGAACTATATAATCTGTTTGGGGGAAGAAACCACCTTCAAAGGGTGGTGGCCACCCTCAAAGGGTTCTTTTCTGTTCATTAAAGCAGTTCCCCCCAGGACTCTGACTCAGCAGGTGTTTTTCAGAGGCAGGTGGGAGCCCTTCCTACTGTTCCTCTCTCCTCTTCCCTCCATTCGCAGGCATCTGGGGCGGGCTGACCACCGTGCTCCCATGAACACCTGGAGTGTCGGCCCCCATGCATCTGCTTTGCGCATGTGTGGGGAAGGAGGAAGATACAGGACCAGTTTTATGGGTTACTTTCGGCTGCACCCACCCCAGCCCCAGAAAAAACTCTGTAGGGATCTAGCTGCCCCATGAGTGAGGGGGTGAGCCACCAAGTGACAGGAATGTTAATACCTCAGACACACTGAGCACACACCTGCCTGAGGGCCTTTGTAGCTGCTGTTCCCTCCAGAACCCTCTTCCCCCAGGTAGGCACACAGTTACCTCTCTCACTTCCATTGGGTCTCTGCCTAAATATTAGGACCAAATTAAAATAGCACTCCCGGGCTTCCCTGGTGGCGCAGTGGTTGGGAGTCCGCCTGCTGATGCAGGGGACACGGGTTCGTGCCCCGGTCTGGGAAGATTCCACATGCTGTGGAGCGGCTGGGCCCGTGAGCCATGGCCGCTGAGCCTGTGCGTCCGGAGCCTGTGCTCCACAACAGGAGAGGCCACAACAGTGAGAGGCCCGCGTACCACAAAAAAAAAAAAAAAAAAAAAAAAAAGCACTCCTGTCAGTCTTTATCTCCTTATCCTGCTTGTTTTTTCTCCATAGCATCTCTCACTGGTTAACAGGTACGTCTGTCTGTCTGCACACCCAACCCCAACCCCCAACCCCGTAGACTGACAGCAGGGCATTTTTAATACAGCAGGTTCCTATTAGTTATCTATTTTATACATATTAGTGTATATATGTCAATCCCAATCTCCCAATTCATCCCACCACCACCACCCCGCTTCCCCCCTTGGTGTCTGTACGTTTGATCTCTACATCTGTGTCTCTATTTCTGACAGCAGGGCATTTATTTTATTCATTACTGTATCCTCAGCTCCTAAAACATTTTTTAGGTAGTCAGTAAAACTTGTTGAGTAAAGAGCAAAGTCTTTATTTCTCCCCACCTATTACTTTACTGACCAGGAGGGGATCCTGGTGACCGGTCTGCATGGGGAGGAGTTGGGTCCTAATAGTAACTCGGGCTTCGTGCTGCTGGCTGGTGAATCTACCCGGCTATTTGCAAGGCTCGTTTACTCTGGTCCAAAGTGCTCCTCAGCCCAGAGCTATGCTACCCAAGGGGGAACATATCCCCCAGGAGAGCAGGAGAGACTGCACATTTGTATCAGTGGGACCTGGAGAATCACAGTCCAACAGCCCTGACCTCTAGGTCCTTATAGCCCCCATGCTGAGTGACACCAGGACTTCCTTTCCTTCCTTCTCCCCTTCCCAACTAGGAAATCCAGTCCCTCCCCACCCACAGCACCTCTGAAATTATTTTTCTCTGTACCTTGTTCTCCTGGCTTTCTGTCTGCTTCTCCCTGTTTTATTCTCAGTGTCTTTTGTCTTCTGTTTCCTCTCTCTCCCCCTCTCTCCTTCTCCCCTTGTCCCCTCCCTGCTTTTCTTCTCCTCAAAGAGTGATGGAGTGAATTGAATGGGTGGCATGAATTTCATCAAGTGCCCTTCACATTGCCTGGTACAGAGTAGTGTTCAACAAAGGCCGTTTCCCCCGGCCCCCCAAATCCCGTACACCCTTCCTTTCCTCCTCTTTTCCCTCCCTACCTCTCTCTTGTCCGTCTACTCCCTAAAACCAAGAGGCCAATTCCGCTTAGAACTTTCTAGCCTGTATTTGCGCGTCGTAGCCCGGTCGCCGCTCCTGATTGGCCCTGTGCCTCAGGCCGCACCCCTGCTTGGCTCTTCTCTCCCTCGGACCCCGCCCCCCCAGTCTCTGGAGCCCAGGCCAGCACACGGGGGCCTTTTCTTTCGGAGGGAGGGGCAGCGTTGTCCCCCCGGCCGCTTGCATTTAGTTTCTCTTCTCCATTCTTACAGCCTCTCTCTCCCTTTCTTCCCGTCTCGCACCAAGACTTTCATTCCCTCCAGGATTTTCTGGGCTCTTCATGTAAAGGTCATGTCTGATGCAGTGTTCCCCCGCACCACCTCCACGCAGCCTTCTGTGAGCGTCGAGGGACGGGAGGAAGGGAGAGAGGGAGGCACTACCGGAGGAACCCAGGACACAGAGACCCGTGCACCCAAATGCTGAGAAGGCCAGTTGCCCAGACTGCGGACCGCTGTGGTGCAGTGGGAAGAGCCCTGGGCAGGCGTCAAAACCCAATTCTGCCTCTTAGTGTCTATGCGACTAAGGATAAGCAATTTTCTCGGCCTCAGGTTTCCTATCTGTAAAACAGGGAGAATTAGCACCCACATTGGCAGATGGTGTGAGACCCATAGTAGGTGGTATGGAATCCTAATCTGTACCACGGACTAGAGGCAGAAAGCTCTACCCTGCCCATTCCCACCTGCATATTCCCGACCAGCCGTGGGTGGGGTCAGGCCTCTGGGCATTGGCCGGTACCTGGTCCTTGAGACCAGGAGGGCCATTGGTTCAGCAGCCGGTCCCTGCCTTGGCTGTGGCCTGGTCTTGGCTGTGGTTGGTGCCCAGTCCTGCCCTGCCCTCTGTTCTTTTCCGAAAGGACTCTGGGGAACTTTCCAGGGCAGGAGAGAGAGCGCAGTGAGGGAGGGCAGATGCTACACTGAGAGTGGGCCTTAGGCAAGTTCCAGGCACCACTTGTGACATTCCATTTAATCTCCCAGTGCCTAGCTCAGGAGATAATGTGAATGAGTGAGTGAATGAACAACCTAATGAGGAAGGTTATGAAGTCAGATGGTATATGTAAAGCACCTGGCAGGTGCCTGGCACATAGTCAGCCCTCAGTAAATACTGCCCCCTTTCCCTGCTGCCTCTTTGACTGTTCTCCTCCCTTTATCGGCAAGCAATGTGCTGTAATAGAAAGAACACTTGATGTAGAGTCCCAAACACCTGGTTATGAGTCTTAATTCTTTCACTCATTGACTCACGACCCTGGGCAAGTCACTTACTTCCCTGGGCCTCAGTTTCCTCATCTGTAAAAAGGGAATAATGAATCTGTAAATTAAAAACAAAAAAAAGGGAATAATGACATTGCAGGGTGAATGAGGAGCAAACAAAATACATGAAGAAGGCCTTTGGAGAAGCAGAGCACGGTCCGTAATACTATCCCTCCCTCCTGATGGCCACATGCCTCCGTTTCTCCCCTCCTCCAGGCTCAGCACGACTGGCATGACCCATGGCAGACTAAAATCTCAACCTGATTTCCTCACTCCCCTACCCCCATCACCTCTCTGTGATGTCATTCGTGGAGGCTCCACTGTGGCACAGCACCAGGGCTTGGCCCACCCCTGCTGCCTAGCTGGCCGTCTCCTTGTGTCCATTAAGCCCCAATCCAGATTTCTTTCTCTTTCAATTAAACCACTTAGCCTCGAAGCCTTTGGCCCTTGAGCCCAGATTTGCACACACATCCTATGAATAGCTTTGCTTAGAAAGAAAAACCAGAATTCGGTACAAGTGTTGCTCAGCACTGCCCTGCATCCAGCAAGTAAAGGATGCCAGTCTAACCCAATGCTGTTTCCTGAGAGACTGGGCACAGGCTAAGCGGGGCGGGGAGATGGCAGGCGGGCCCCAGCCAGGGCTTGGCAGCTGCTGATGCCCTGGACTGAAAATGCCACCCCTTCATTGGCTCATGGCTCTCCCTGGCTTGTCTGTATACTCTATGGCCAGTCTCAGGTTATTAACCTCTCCCATCGTGATGGACACACTGGGTCTCCACAGGACTGGTGTGCCAGCCTTGAGAGGAGAGGGGCATGGAAAGGCAGAGAAAGAATGGGCAGCATCAGGAGGGATGTCAGGACTGTCCTCAGCCCAGCCCCCACCCATTGGAGACCAAAAACCCCCCACCTTCCCAGAAGTGTTACTGTGGCTTCAGCTCTGCTCCAACACACACACACACACACACACGCACATGCACACGCACACTCCACTCCAAAAAGCTCTTAATTAAGGGCAAACATTTGGAAGGGGATTTTGACATCCTCTCTCTAGTCCAGTTGTTTACATCCTTTTCTGAGTCACAGACCCCTTTGAGAATCTAATGAAAGCCATGGTGCCTTTCCCAACTGCATGTATAGGACAAATTTTTCATTTAATTTCAAAGTCTCTGTGAACCCTTAAAGCTTCCAGTGGACTGAGATTAAGAATTTCTGATCAGATCCAACTACTTCATTATCGATAAAACACTAAGGCTCAGAGAAGGCAAGAGACTTGCCTACAATCACACAGCAAATTAGTAGCAGAGCCCAGTCTGAAGCCAGGGTTCCAGATTACTGATTCCTTTCCACTCCCCCACGTGGTGTCTCCCTCCCTTTTTTCTCCATGGTCCCCTTCTCAGTCAGTCCTCTCCTAGGTCCCAGCACAGACCAGAGCACGAATGTTCGGTAAAAGTGGTTATCAGGTGAGCTGGAAGGTGGGCCAGCTTCCTTTAGCTGGTTCCTCCCTGCAGGTCCAGAACAGATGTGGTTTGGTTCTAGAGACGTGTGAGGGAACTGGGTCAGGGGTTGGCTGGGTCTCTTCCGAGCCATTCTAGGCTGTGAATTCTTTTTATTTATTTTTTTAATATTAAATGTGGGTTTTTTCTTTTTCTTATTTATTTATTTATTATTATTTTGGCTGTGTTGGGTCTTCATTGCTGCACGCAGTCTTTCTCTAGTTGTGGCGAGTGGGGGCTACTCTTTGTTTCAGTGTGTGGGCTACTCTTTGTTTCAGTGCGTGGGCTTCTCATTGTGGTGGCTTCTCTTGCTGCGGAGCACGGGCTCTAGGCGTGCAGGCTTCAGCAGGTGCGGCACTCAGGCCCTAGAGCACGCGGGCTTCAGTAGTTGTGGCATGCAGGCTCAGTAGTTGTGGCTCGCGGGCTCTAGAGCGCAGGCTCGGTAGTTGTGGCGCATGGGCTTAGTTGCTTCACGGCATGTGGGATCTTCCCGGACCAGGGATTGAACTCATGTCCCCTGCATTGGCAGGCGAATTCTTAACCACTGCGCCACCAGGAAAGTCCCAGGCTGTGAATTCTAAGAGCTGTGGTCCAAGTAAAGGGCCAAGAGAAGTGTCCTCAGGCTACAGAGCAGGGGACCTGGAGCACGTCCAGCCTTCCTCTAAATGCCAGCCAGGATCTCAACTTTTAACACCACCTCCAGCCATCTGTTTCTCCTCTGCTCTGGAACCCACATTGTCTCCCTAGTGCCATAGCATCAAATTCAGATTCCTTTCCCTGGTGTCTCCTCTGCAGAAAAGGAGCTCATCTCTGCACTGGGGTCATTGCTCCTGTCCTGTCCCCATATGGCTTGTGAATGTGGCCCAGTGGGGAGGGGGGTGGGACACTGCAGTGGGGATGTTGCTCTGCCTCACCAGCCGTCTCTGCCCCCAGGACTGCAGTGCAATGCATCCGTGGACCTCATTGGCACCTGCTGGCCCCAGAGCCCCGCAGGGCAGCTGGTGGTTCGACCCTGCCCTGCCTATTTCTACGGTGTCCGCTACAACACCACAAGTAAGGGAGCCCGTGGAGGGCAGACCATCTCCTGGGAGGTGGGACAGGATGGGGAGAGCTTGGGACTTGTTGGAGGTGGGGAAAATAATAATGACAATGATAATAATAATAATGCCATTCATGGGTACAACCGCCATTGACCAGTGGCCAGCTCTGTGCTCTGCTGGGTATTCTGCTCATTACTACTGATGCTCACGATACCCTGGAAGATGCTACATGTGACTATGTTATATAACTAAGGCCTCCGAGGCTCAGAGAGGTTAGGGAAGTTGCCCAAGGTCAGCAGCTGGTAAGAGGTGAAGCTGGAATTTGCATCCGGGTCTGTCTGACACTTTCTTCTGCAGTTGACAAGCTGGGTTAACGTTGGAATGAGCCATGAGGTAGGGCAGAAATCATCAGAAAGCCCTAACTTTGCTCAGAGAGGATACCAGGCCTATCCTGGGCCCTCCAGCCACGAGATGGGGGGACTCAGAGTTTTAGATCCGTAGGCAGGGGGCTTGTCCTTGCACGTAGGCCCACAGGTGGGGTGGGGGTGGGAGACGACTGCCCCGGGCAGGGTTTGTTCAGATACTTGATCCCCATGTAAACACCCTGCTCCCCTGGGGCCCTGAGCCTCCACCTCCAGGCTTTGCGGCTTCTTGCTATGCCACCTGTCACCCTCAGAATTAATTTGCTCTCCCCTGTCAATGCCTCACAACCCCTGCTTATCAAGAGAGCAACAGCTGCAGGCCAGGGGCCCTGAGCTGTCTGAGGGGAGGGTGGGGGGTTCCTTGGGTGGGCCCTTGGGGTCTGGTGGGCCTGAGCTCAGAGCCCCACCAAGAGGTGACAGAGGGTGACCACAGACACCAATTGTGACCTTTAACACAATTTTCCTCTCTTATGGCCCTCTGGCCCCTCATCTGAGGATGGAGAAGGCTCGATGACATGGCTTCTTAAGACTCTGTCCAGCTCAGAACTCCCAAGTTCCTTCTCTTGCTCCTCTCTTTTTTTTTACCAGCTGGATTAATGGGGTTCGGGTTGGGGGCCACAGCCAAGGAGGGGTGGGAGGGCCCTGGGGAGGTGTTGGGACTGGGCGGGAGGCTGGAAGAGCCAGACCATGCAGCTTCATGTGTCTGCAACCGCACCCTGGACCCCAGGAGGAGAAGAAAGCCTGGAGGAGGTGTGGGGAGAATGCAAGTAGGAGGGAGGGCAGAAGGACCTAAAGGAGAGTTTGTGTATCCTGCCAGCCTCTAACTTGGGCCCATCGTAGTTGGAAATGCAGGCAAAGAGGCTAAAAATGCCCAAGGTCACAGGCTTGGAGGCAGCGCCGGAACTGGGGAGCCAGAGCCCTCCGGCTGTTCCCCTCACCCGGCTGGGTGCCCTGTCCTGGAGCTCCCCGGAGAAAGGCAGCGTTAGGGCTGGTGCTTGCTGGGGCACGGGAGGGCTGCTTCCAGGAGGAACCCCCCCAAGTCCCCTTACCAGAGCACCAGGTCCTGGCAATTCCACCTCCAAAGTGAGTCTCATGTCTGACCCTCCCTGCCCTCCATCCCCAATGCCACTGACCCGGTACAGGGTACCCCAATCTCCAGCCCTAGTTTCTCATCTGACCCTGTCACACCCTTGCTTGGAGTCAGCCCTTCTGTGGGTCCCCATTGCCCCCACAGTCAAGTCCACCCGCTAGCTACAGTCCTGCCTACCTTTGCAGCCGGTCCTGGCCACTCCCCATGAACTACCCCCACTCTCGTCCCCAAAGGTGTCTTGACGTGCCCCGAATAAACCTTTAGTGCCTGGGCACATATAACTCAATTGGGCAGCCCTGCCGTAAGTAGAAGCCAGGAGTCTTGGGTTCTAGTCCCAGCTCCACCTGTACCCTGGTTAAGGAACCCTCTGCACTGGCTCTCCCCGGGCCTCAGTTTCTCCACCTTCAGGATGGGTGGTGGGAGGTTTGGGTGAGGTGCTCTCTCGGCTCCCTTGCGCTCCCCTCTGTGATCCCAGGAGAGGAGATGGAAGAGGTGATGGTCGCTTGACGTGGGGGCAGGGCTGGAAGACTGCCCTTTCCAGGTGCCCCCAGTGCCAGAATGATGAGGAACACCCGTGTACTCCGTAGCGACTGGGAACCCAGAATTGTACCTAATCGTTAGGCGCTACTTAATTCATTTACCGACGAGGTGCTGCCAGGGCCTCTAGGCCTTCCCCTTAATGGCCTCCTTCCCACTGCATCTGATCTTCAAAGGAATGGGAAGCATTTCCCAAAATATCCATTTTCCCCGTGACTCTCCAGGAGGACTGCTCAGCTCAGCAATTAAAGACAAGGAAGTCACCTCCTCCCTGGCAACGACTCGCGGCTTGTTGGGCCTGTTTTCTTGCAGGATCGCCTCCTGTAAGCCTGCTCCCTCTATGACCCGGCCTGGGAAGGACTCCAGGCTCCTGCCCCACCTATGGGATTCAAAGGGGAGCTTAAGCCAAGGGGATGCCTCCCGGAATCCCCGCCAGTGCCCCCTATGATAGCGACAAGCGACATGTTCTGAATCTTAGGTAAGGTTATAGAAATATAGCTCCGAGACAATAATGGTAAGAATAACAGCTCACACCACATGCCAGGTAGAGCTCCAAGCACCCTGTACATGTCAGCTAAAAATGCCCCTCAACCATTGAGGTAGGAACCCTTGTTAGGACCATTTCTGTCTTGCAGATAAGGAAGCTGAGAAGTCGTGGGACTCATCCAGGTTCACACACAAAGCTAGTGGCAGCTGGTGGCAGGATTCGAACCCAGGCTGTCTGGGTGGAGAGCTCGGAACACTACAGTATACTGCCTCTCTTAAGACAGCAGCTCCCACCCCTGCCCTCATGCCCCTTCGCACCAGATCTCTGACCCCAAGTCCCTTTCTTTGAAGACACTTTGGAGCAGCCTCGGTCCCAGGCACTTTCCGTCCATGGCAGACACACTGGTTTCCCCTGCTTACGTGCCTCCCCCCAGGCGTCCCCGAAACCCCAGCCACTGAGCCCTCAGCCCTCTGGTAGCTTTTTCCTCATTCAGCAGTTAGGAGGGAATGGGCAGCATCTTCAACTCTGCCCAAGGGCTCAACTCTGCCGAGACTCAGGTCCACTGGCAGGGAAGCTGAGCAGAGCTTTAAAATCCATTTAGCCTCATTTCCCTACTGGTGTGCTGTACGAGAACAGCCTCTCAGCAGAAGGGCCGAGGGGGCAGCGTTAGAGAGGAGGTCTCAGCCCGGCAGCCCTGGAGGCCAGGCTGGGGCTGCCTCTCCTGGGGAGGCAGCCGCAAACCCACCTCCCACCCCATCCTCTCCCTCCTGTGTGGTGCTGCCAGCAGAGAGGCAGGTCCCAGGCTGGACGGCCTCTTGGGGATCAGCTGGTCCAGCCCTTCCTCTTACACGTTAGGAGAGGGTCCTGAGAGGCCAGCTGGCCGATGGCACTCACGCAGTGGGGGCCCCCGTTCTGCCTCTCTCGTGGCGCTCTGCCACTGCTGGGACTGGGACTCAAGCAGCTTCCGCAACCTCCTTCGGCCCTGCTGGGGGGTGATGTGAGGTGAAGGTCAGTGTGAGCCATGGAAAGGCTGCAGCAGGCGAGGGGCTCCGGTGGAAATGGCTCAAGGCTCTTCCAGCCAGTGCTTCCTGGTGTCAGGACCAGAATTTACTCAGGGAAACATATTTAGAGCTACCGATGCCTGAGAGGGGTACAGGGTGGAGCAGGGTGACCTCCGCCAGCAAAGAAGAAAAGACTCCAGATTTGAATCTCCCTTGGACCCCACCCTACTGGGTTTCAGGGCCCTGGTGTCCCCGGGGGGTGGGCAGGAAGGAGGGTGTCCCAGAGCCCTGAAGCCAGGCCTCAGTTCAGACCACAGGCAACTCCCAATCTCCTTAGAAGGTGACACGTTCTGGCTTCCAGGCTGATGACTGCTTGGACCCCCCCACCCCTTCCCGGGCCACATTCCTGCCTTTTTTTCCCAAGTGCCATGTGCCAGTCTGGGAGCCAGTTGGAGCGGATCCTAATTACGAAATAATTGCTACACGAGACCCACTCCCATGACATCCCCCAGCACATCTCCCATCTCCTGCCACCTGTCATTTTCTGTCCCGAGAGACCTCCACCATGGATGCTCCCACTACGTGACCCTCCAACATAAGGCCTGCCGTAGGGAAATGCCACCCTGGGGACCTTCCCTAACAGCTGCCCTGTGATCCCCACCCCCGTGAGACACTGCTACCATGTGAGACCCCAAAATGGGAGATTTCTCAGAAGGGTGCACACCGTGTAATCTGCCCTACATAAGGGCTTGCAAGGAAGCAGGAAATGGCCCGGTGAGCTGGTCAGGCCTCTGCCCGTGGGCCAGTCCTGTGGGCATGATTGTGCCAGCCTGGGTGGGCAGAGCCATGGCCCCGTGGGCATGCATTGGGGTCACCACTGTACCTCTGTGGGGGGCCAGTGGGCAGAAAGAGGCAGGAAGGTGGAAGTAGTAAGAAAGCCCCTCCCCCCAGCTTCACCCCAGAGCCCCCCAGCAAGCCGGCTCCTGTGCTGGCCCAGAAGGACGGTTAGATGGACAGTCGAATGGACGGACAGATGCTCATTTACTCTTTGGGAGAGGAGCCACGGGTCACTTTGACTCTCTTCTTTTTCCAGACAACGGCTACCGGGAGTGCCTGGCCAATGGCACCTGGGCCGCCCGCGTGAACTACTCGGAATGCCAGGAGATCCTTAGCGAGGAGGTGAGGCTCCGAGCCAGCTACCCTGTTGAGGGCTGGGCCTGGGCCCCCAGCACGGCTCTGCGCCTGCTACCAGCCAGTCAGATGGGAGAGCCAGAGGCTGGTGTCTCTGCCCTGCAGAGAGAAGCCAACTGGGGAGCCAGAACTAGGCCAGCCCGTGAGTGGGCATCCTCAAGGGAGGGTGAGGCCAGAGGGCAGTGGGCAGGCTCTGACAGCGGCGAGTTGAGTCTCCCTCCCTCCCTCCCTCCTTCCTAGCTCACTGGGACCGGTTCTCATCCGTTGTCCACCCCACCCACTGGAGTGACACATCCAGGTCCAGCCAGGGTCCTGCGTTCGAATCCGGGATGTGGGTGGGAGGAGCCATGGAGCTGGAAAAAGCCCTTGAAGAGCCTTTCAAATATTTAAATGTTTTTGAGAAAGACGTTGTTTAGACGCAATACAAAATTCAACAGGTACAAATGGGAAAACAAAATAATCTCCCTCCCAGCCCTGTCCCAGCCACTGGGCTCCCACACCAGAGGTCACCATTTTGCCAGTTTCTTAGGAGTTCTTCCAGAGACAGTGTCTGCATAGGCAAGCAATTATGTATATATATTCTTTTTTGTTTTTCACACAAACGTTGCATATTATACACTTCGTTCAACACCTTGCTTTTTTCATATAACCATCCATCTTGGCGATGGTTCCGTATCAGTACGTAAAGAGCATCTTCATTCTTTTTTTTTACATTTGCATAATATTGTACAGATGTTCCATAGCTTAGTTAACGAATCTTTATTCTCATCTTTGCTTATGACAAACAGTGCCGCAATGAATAATCTTTTAAGGGTGATGTTTGGCAGACGCACGGGCATATCTGTCGTTCTGTGTTGCTGCTACCTCCGTCCCCCTTGTCTCCTCCCCTACATCTCCACCCACCCCTTTGGTGGGTGCTGAGGAAGGTGGGGGTCATGGAGAGGGAAGAAGGAGTGAGCAGAAAGGAAAGGGCAGATGGGAGATGCCCCCAGTTGTCCAAGGGCCCCAGGCTGCTGGGGCGTGGGAGAGAGGGGCTGGTCTAGGCAGTTCCAAGAATTCCAGTGCCTAAAAGATCTAAACTGGAAGGGACCTTGGAGACCCTCCATCCCATCTTGATCTGCCTGGGGATAAGAATCATCCCGAGCGCTTGTTCAAATACAGGGCTACACCCAACATCCGATAAATCAAACTCTCCAAGGACAACCTGGGAATCTGTATTTTTAACAAGTGCAGGGGGGAGTGTGGGGGAGGGGTGATGGGGGAAAAGTGAGAAACTCTGATCTAGGGTAACCCATTCACCTTACAGCGAGGGAGACTGAGGCCCAGAAAGGGGGAGTGACTCACACAAGGTAACACAGCCAGCGTGAGTCAGAGCCTGGACCCCGGGGCTTTGGAGGTGGCTCCCTTTGCCCAGAACCAGGTACTTGGTGTGCAGTGAGGTTGATGGTGGGAGAACAGCTTTCCCCACCTAGCACTCCGCCCATCCCCCCACCCCCCCCCCCCACGCATGCCTTGGTTAGCCGCTCCCCCAGGCTGCCTGGCCTCACATCACTGAGATACTGGGGCTCTGCTGTCTCCTTGTAGAAGTTGCAAAGGTAGGGCAGTGCTTAGCCCAAAAGAATGACACGCTCTTTAGTAGTTCTGCTTTGGCAGACAAAACAGTTACTTGGGATGCAGGGCGAGAGGCTTCCTGGCATCTAATGTCACACAGGCCAGGCCATATGGCCCACCCCAGGCCGGGTGGGTTGGCCCAGCTCCCCAGTGACCTTGACCTGAGCAAAGATAGCCCCCAGGTTGCTAAGCATCTACATGGTGAGCCAACCCCAGAAGTCCAGGGCTGGGGAGGAAGGCATCCACCTGGACTGGGGGAGGAAAGTAAGGTTCCCATATTGGGAAACGTAGTCGAACCAGAAGAGATGGGCTCGGGTGGGCAACTCCTTACCTAGCACACAGCGGAGTGGGGAACTCCTTACCTAGCACACAGTAGAGGAGGCAGGAGGATGGGAAAGGCGGGTCAGTGCTGTCTGCGGCTCTCAGGACCGCGGTTCACACCCGGAGAGGGACGGCGTCGGGGAGCACAGCTAAGGCAAGAAGCCTGCAGCCCCTCCGTCGCACCCCACCCTGCGCTTTGATCGTCCTGCTGGGTCTGCAGGGCCTGAGGCTGACTGTGTGTCTCCAAGTGGAGGTCAGATCGCCAGCCTCCTGCCTTAGGATGGACACCCCTCCCCCACCCCAGAGAAGCGGGCGTCTGTCCCCTCCTTGGACATCACCAAGCTGGAGACGTCACAGCTGCCTTCAATCTCCCTCCCTGCATTGGAGCCTCCTGAATGTCAGAGGACATTCACAGGCCCCCAAATCTCTCCTGCTCTAATTTAAGCCCCTTCCTTCTAGTTGGCTGACGGGGGACACTCAGCAGCCCCCCTTGCCCCCAACACCCTTCACAGAATCAGGGGCAGAGGCCCTTCTCCACTCTGCAGCTCCCACCCCTTCTGCCTGGACTGGGGTCTCTCCCTCTCTCCACCAGCGGGTTGGGGGGAGAAGGTGGATTAGGGGGCACCAGCTTCTCATCAGGCCCCTCTTAGGCAGTGTAACGGGAACAGCACCGGCTTTGGAGGGGTTTGGATTCTGGTTCCAACACATGTGCTGTGTGACCCTGGGCAGGTAGCTCAGCCTCACTAAGTCTCAGCTTCCTCGTCTGTAAAAGGCCGGAGAGCAGTTCAGTCTGCCTCTTGGGGGAGGGAGGGCGGTGTCCGCCTGCATCTTGGCCTGTAGAGGGCGCTCCATCTATCCGCCACACCTCGGCCTCATCACCTGAGCTCAGGGGAGGCTGTTGTGTTCAGCAGGGAGGGGGGATGGTTGGGAGGGGTCACCAACCATCGGTCACCCCCGATGGGGTCACGGGCACCCCCATTCGTCTGGTTGCAGGGCTCACCCCGACCCGGGATGCCCCGCCCACCCTTTCCCCGGCAGCCCCCGCTGGCCACTTTGCCTAGCACTCTGGGTAATCAGTTAATTTAATTAGTGAAAATGCCATCCCCTTCTGCCAGCCCCCAGCCTCGCCAGACCCCTCCCCATTCCCAAGACTCCCCGTCCCCTCCTGGAACTACTGTGAAAGAGCAAGAGGAATGTCGCCAATTAACCGAGCAGCCGATTTCTCAGCTCTGGGCCCGGACTCAGCCCTAATGAAGCATCAGCGCCCCAGGAGCTGCAGAAAATGGATTCGCAGAACCACTGCCTGTGAAATGAGACTTGTGAGGGCGCCCAGAGGCCAGGCCAGGGAGGAGACCTGCCCACAGCCATCACCAGCAGGGGGCAGGCCCCCAGCCGGGGAGCTTGCTTCATGCATGGCCCAGCCCCTGCAGTGACCCCCACCCTGGCACCAGCTTGCACCCTCCCCACACACACACTTGTCTCCCTCCACTGCAGAGACACCCCAAACTGCCCCAGACAGCTCTCCCGTCCCCCCACCGCTCCCTTGACACTTGCACACACTCTGCTTCCCTCCCCTACACTCTGCTGAGCTCGGGGAGCCCTGGCCTCCGGCACATCCTGGGAGGGCACACACTTTGATGGGACATAAAAGGGGCTCTGGGAGTGTGGGCTCATGGGCCGGCGTTCACTGCTCGCAGAGGGCGTTGGTTCGACCAGGGCTTCTGGAATGCTTAGGAATCATCTGGACTTGTTGCTAAAATGAAGATTCTGACTCAGTGGATCTGGGGCGGGGCTTGAGGTTCTGCATTTCTTAAGATTCCTGCAAGCTCCTAGGTGATGCTGACATTGCTGGTCTGGGGACCACACTTTGGGGAAGCAAGGGGCTGGAGTGCCCAGGGTGGGGTGAGGGAGTAGCTCAGGAAACCCAGGTGGAGAGGGAGAGCCTCAAAACGGGGTGGATGGAGGTGGGAGAGAGGCTGAAGCAGTGGGGACCAGGCGGGGAGAACCCATCATGCCATCCTGAAAAGGCATCAGGACAGGTCTGACACTGCCACCACTTGGGACCAGGTGTGCCTTGCAGAGAGTCTGGTCAGAATTACTTATTGGATTCTGGTCGTGAGGGTGCAGAGGAGTGGCTTCTGCCCAGTACCACACGGTGCCACCCTCTTCGGGGTACTTACTTGCCAGTCTCTGGTCTCCAGACTGGACAAGGACAGAGTGCTGGTCAGGTCCCCAGGGACTGGCTGTGTCCGTGTGACCTTCAGGCATCCCAGCTGCTTCTGCAGTTAACGGTGGCTTTCTCTCAGGAGGTCACTGACCGTCTCTCAGGGTGTCACTGGGTGTCTCTTAGGATGTTGCTGGCTATTCTCTCCGGGTATCGTTGAACACCCCTCAGGGTATCACCGACCGCCTCTTGGGGGTGACTGGCCGTCTCTCCTAGTGATGCCGGTCATCTCTCGGGGTGGCACGGCCACCTCTCCAGCAGTCTTCTCAGGCTCTTGCTGCACCGCAACCCCCCAGCTGCCTTGCATCGGGCTGATGTGGCAGCAGAGAAGCAGGGCTGGGAGCCAGCTTGGGCCCTGCAGCTCGAGGAGTCAGGCAAACGTGGTCCCCTGCATGGTTCGGCCCAATTCTCCCCGCTCAGCCTCAGTGGAGAAAACCCCTCATGAGCCCCCCACCTCCCCGTAGAAGCTCCCTGAGAACTCTGGGCCCAGGACGAAGACAATGCTTCTGTTCTCAGTCCTTGCTTATCCCCCAAGAAATGCACCGCGGGAACAGAGGAAGGAGGGTCTTTAAGGCCACGCAGACCTGGATGCCGATGCTGGGCCGATTATGCAGCCCCTTCACCTGGAGAAACGGGGACAGAAGGACACTCTCAGAGGGCAGTTGTGAGAAAGAAAAGCAGTGATGTCTGTAAAGCCCCCGGCGCGGTGCCCGGCATGCAGTCGGTGCTTAATAAATGACTCATGCCACCCCAAACCAAAGGACCCCGGCTCGGCCTGCTGTGGGGAGCAGTGAAGGGCCTCCCTGCGTACTCTGCTCATCTTGCCCACCTGGGCCTGTGTATGAAGCTGGGGCATCACACCGTTCTGGGCTCCACAGACTCTGCCATTACCCAGGGGCTTTGCAGCATGGATTTGTGGAAAATTTAATAAGAGGAAATTAAATGTCAGTTCCAGACAGGCTGGATGTGTGCATATCTGCTGGAGTCTCTGGACTTGGCATCTACAGCCGGGCACTCAGAGATGCTGCCCCGCCGCCCCCCGCGTTTATATGATGGCAGTGAATACCCTCTGCCCCTCCCGCCCTCTCTCCCCACCTGCCATTTGCACCTCGCTGGGTCTCAGCGCTCCAGAGCCCGAGCTGCTAATGTGATTTCCTGTCATGTTCCTGAAAGCTTTTTCCAGGAAAACCAGCCCCTAGAACAGAGCTGCCTGGGCCTCAGAGCTTCTTCGGTGAGGATGCCCCTTCAGAAGGGGGAGAGCGGGGGCTGGGGAGAGCAGGGGAGCGAGGGCTTCACCCCTTCTCAGATGCCTGTTAGGTGTCCTGCTTCAGAGGTGCACCCCTTGTCCTTGGGTGGGTGAGTTTAGGCCTCAGTTTCCTCATCTGGACGATGGGTAGGGCTGGACTCCATCGCTTGGGACCAGTTCTGATGCCCGTGGATTCTGTAATTCCGACAGGAGGGTCCACAGAGAGCCAGGAGCTCTGGTGGCTCTGAAAGGGTGCACAAGTCTCCTGCGAGCTTGTCTTTTTCTGAATACTTGCCAGTTTCCGGGCATCATCATGCCCATGCCCCACCCCAGAACCTGGAAAGGGTGAAGGAGGGAGGGGTTACCAGGGACCCTCCCCTTGCAAAAGCCAGTGCCTTTCCAACATCCATTTTTCCTTCCTGCACTCGACACACATTTCCCAGCGCTCCACCGTGTGCCACACTCTGGCTCTTAGGCCCTGCCCTCTTGGGGCCTACAAAAGGGTGAAGGGGGCCTTTGCTCTCACGGGGTCAGGAGTCTGCAGAGAGCTGGGCCCTGAAGACCCCAGTCCACCCTCATGGGGTCGGGACCCGTCTTCTGCCTCACTTGTCAATCTGCACATGAAGGGGAGAGGTGGTTTGAAGCTGAGTGACCTTGAACGAGTCCGTGTACTTTGGGGCCTGTTTTTCTGCAAAATAAGGTACAGACCCCCTACTGGCTCTTCCCCCAGTGTTGCCTTGAGGGTTTGAGAAGATAACAGATGTGAAAATACTCTGTAGGGAATTCCCTGGCGGTCCAGTGGTTAGGACTCCTAGCTTTCATCACTACCGAGGGCCCGGGTTCAGTCCCTGGTCGAGGAACTAAGATCCTGCAAGCCGCGCAGTGCGGCCAAAAAGAAAAAAAAAAAGGAAAGAAAATACTCTGTAAACGGCAGGGCTTCCACACTCATGGAGCGAACTTTGATTGGAAAGGGGCCTGCCGCGTTTCCCAGCTTCCATCAGTGTATGAAATGAATTAAGTAATAACATTGGGAACTTTGTTTTAGTCCTGGGAGAGGACCCCACTGACTTCAAGCAGACCCCCTGGGCCAGGGGTGGGACCCGGGAAGCAAGTTATAGAGCCTAGAGAGGTTGTTTATGGTTTCTAATGATTCTGTGGATGCTAACCCACAGCAACTGCCCTTTCCCCTCCTCGCTGAGAGGAGCGGGCCTCAACTGCAGCGGGAGGGATTTAGGGGTGATGGAGAACATGGTGGCTCAACTCAGAAATGGGAGGAGGAGAGAAGTCCTAGAGGGTTGGTCTGCACCACAAGGGCCATCTGGTGTTGGGACTGAACGGAAACGTGAACATGAGAGAACATCCGTGAGCCGTGCATGCGTGTTTGTGCACACGGGGTGGGGAACCCTATGTGCTGTGGAGATTCAAGTTAACTGACAATTTTCCCACAGCACGGAGCAGTGCACAGAGCATGGGATTGGAGGACAGACAGACAGACGTAGACTCAGATTGGACGGCACTGCTGTAGGGCAACACCTCACGCATAGCAGGGGCTCCGGAAGGGACAGCTATTGTTATCATGGTCCACTTTGTCCCAGGCACCTGTGGGGGTGGGCTGTCCTGGCACATCCAGTGGGCACGGGCGCAGCTGTGAAGGAGCCTCACCTCTGCCCCTCTCTCCTGCCTCAGAAGAAGAGCAAAGTACACTACCACGTTGCCGTCATCATCAACTACCTGGGCCACTGCATCTCCCTGGTAGCCCTCCTGGTGGCCTTTGTCCTATTTCTGCGGCTCAGGTGAGGAGACCCTGGCACCGTCCCCTGCCACCGCCCCCCCAGGCCTTGAGCAGCGGGGAGAAGTAAGATACAGGAGGCAGTGGTGGGCTAGGGGAGTCCAGCTCCCTCACCTCAGTGGGAGCAGGTGACAGATATACATGTCCCAGGTCTCTTGGAACCTCTGGCAGGGTCACTTCTGCAACCCTGCCCAGTGACTGCAGAGGGGAGGGGGATGGCCAAAGCCCAGGCTCACCTGTGTCACCCACACCCAGGCTGGGCTGCACCCATTTGGGAGACCAGGAAGGTGGAGCCCACTTTGGGTTTGAAGCTGCCTGGGCCCAGCACAACTGCCAAGGATGCAGGTGGCAGTGCCAGCCAGGTCTGTGCCAGGAATGGGGGCTGCCAGCAGGGGCTGAGCATCAGGGCTGAAAGCTGGGAGGGAGGCCTATTGCTGGAGGCTTTTTATGTTTTCTGAGCCTCAAACTTGGAGCTACAGGGAGGGAAGGGTGCTCATGGGAGAAGGGGCGTCCCTAGCAGCCAAGCAGCCCCTGGTCCCTTCAGCATTGGCCATGTGGCAGGCTCTGCTCCGGAGCTTAGGTCTGGACCACAGTTAGGAAGGGGCCTGTGGGACATCAGGAGAGCCGCTGCTGCCACGTCCCAGTGTGATTTAGTCAGCCCGCCCTGCTCGGAGCCTCGGTTTCCGCATTCATACATCTGGGCTGGAGTGACGCTGGTGACCTAGCCATCATCTCCTCTCTCCTCCTCTTCCGCCTGTCGCCCACCCTCCCCTGCTGCCCACAGGAGCATCCGGTGCCTGAGAAACATCATCCACTGGAACCTCATCTCGGCCTTCATCCTGCGGAACGCCACGTGGTTCGTGGTCCAGCTCACCATGAGCCCGGAAGTCCACCAGAGCAATGTGGTGTGTCCTGGAGGGGCAGGCCCAGGGTCAGAGGAAGGGTCTGGGTGGGGCTGCCTTTGCAGAGGAGGGACCGGAGCCCGGCCTTGGAGCCCACAGCACAGGAGTGGATCCTGGGGGGTGCCCCATCCTGCCGGGAGGAGGCCCCAGGCTGCTCCCTCCCATCCCCCTCCCTGGTTGATCATCACCTCTGATGGGGTGGGCGGCAGGGCTGGTGCAGGCTGGTGACAGCCGCCTACAACTACTTCCACGTGACCAACTTCTTCTGGATGTTTGGCGAGGGCTGCTACCTGCACACAGCCATCGTGCTGACGTACTCCACCGACCGGCTGCGCAAGTGGATGTTCATCTGCATTGGCTGGGGTGAGCGGGCCGCCCCCACCCTGACCCGCCGTGCTCTCCCCGCCCACACTCAGACCGGCCGGCTGGGGGCCTGAGACTGAGGCCAGGTTAGGGTGGTGGGGTGTGCACACAGCCCTCCGCCGCTACTTGGGGGGCAGGGACGATGGGAGCATCTTAAAGGAGGCATGATAGGCCAGTGAGTACCTGGGGAGGCCCTGCCCGCCTCTAGGCCCTGGGCCGCTCTGGGGTCTTCCAGGCCTGCATCCCCCAGACTCCACCGACAGGCCCTGTGACAGCCGGTCTCTCCCGCAGGTGTGCCTTTCCCCATCATCGTGGCCTGGGCCATTGGGAAGCTGTACTACGACAATGAGAAGTAAGTCACCTCCTCTTCACTGTCCTCGGGGCCCCCTGAGCCCCGAGATCCAGGCTTCCAGCCCCGCTCTGCCTGATGCTCCTCAGGGACCTTCAGCCATGTCACCTTCCCTGTCAGGGCCACAGTTTCTTCATCCACACAGGGAGGGTGCTGGGGGTCAGATTCAAACTGACTCTCCCTAACAGCGTTCTGCCTGAGGTGGGGCTGGACGGGCAGGTCCAGGCTCTTTTATCTGTCTCAGGCTTTCACCACAGGCGGAACAAAAGGTTACTGGCAGTCCCTGGAGCCCAGCCACCCAGGTTCTGAACTGTGGCTCCCATCATTAAGTAGCTTTATGACCTTGGGCTAGTTACTACAGTGTGCCTCAGTTTCCTCATCTGTAAAATGGGCATCCTCATAATAGTGCCTCCCTCAAAGTGTTGTGAGGATGACATGAGTTAATATATGTTAAGCATTTAGAGTCTGGCACATAGTAAATGTCATATAAATGTTTTCTATTAATAAAGACTTGTTTTAACAAACGATTCCATTGACTTAATAGGAACTGATCCAGACAATCTCAGAGACTCCTTCCAGCTCTAAAGTCCTGAGGGGCTGTTCTTAAATGAAAGTAGGTGTTCCCAATCACCCCTGAAAACTGCACTTCCGCTGCAGTGGTTCTCAGCCTTGGCTTGGGTTAGAATCACAGGAAGCTTTAAAAAGTACCGATGCCCAGGTTTGACCTCCAGAGAGTTGGATGTTATTGGTCTGGAGTGTGGCCTGGGCACCAGGATTTTTTAAACCTGCCCAGGTGATTCTAATATGAAGCTAACATTGAGAACCACTGAAAAAGAGAGGCAGAAAAAGTGGACATAGATGGCCAGGGGAGGTGCCAGGATCTTCTTTGCCAAAGTGTTCTCAGGAACCCACTGTCTGGCTGGGGTTCCAGGTGGCCTCCATCACCATGGCTATTCCTCTCCACCCCTGACAAGGAGCCTGGAAAATTATATTCACGTTTAGGAAGGATCAAGGTGATCCCTCCTGACTCCAGCCCAGCCTGGCTGGCTCTCTCTGCATTTGCACAGCCGGTGGTATGGGGGCCTGAACTGGGAGTGGGGGGGCAGCTGACAAGCAGGACTGAGGGCTTGGCAGTGATTCCAGAATGGTGGCCTGGGTCTCAGAACAGGAGCATTGTAAATCCTGGGCGATGGAGCCTGTGCCTGCAGGTGTGAAGGTGAGCAGGGAAGGAAGAACAGGTTTCAAAAAGCTGCCCAGTGTGTGCGTCTGGGCACATCTTGGAGCAAAAAGGGTGGCTGAGCACAGAGGAAGGTTGGTCTGAGCGTCTCTGGAGCTCCACCTTGTGGTAAGATTCTGACACTGCAGCAGAAGGGATCCAGGTGTGAGACCTGAGAGAGACTGCAGGCTCTGGGGCCAAGGACTGGACCTGGCCCCAGGACAGCTTGCGTTTGGTCTGCCCCGTGTCTTTTGAAAACTTGAATTGCTTCGAAACTTTGAAAAAGTCAAGAGGTTTCACATAAAAATCTCAGTTTAGGGCTTCCCTGGTGGCTCAGTTGTTGAGAGTCCTGCCGATGCAGGGGACACGGGTTCGTGTCCTGGTCCGGGAAGATCCCACATGCCGCGGAGCGGCTGGGCCCGTGAGCCGTGGCCGCTGAGCCTGTGCGTCCGGAGCCTGTGCTCCGCAGCGGGAGAGGCCACAGCAGTGAGAGGCCCGCGTACCGGAAAAAAAAAAAAAAAAAATCTCAGTTTATTGTTTATGGAAGCATGCTGAGATCTAAGTACTGCGGATCTGCATGCCCGAGGGTCCATCGTCTCTGCACAAGGACATGGGACTTCCTATGTGCCTCATCCCAACCCACCCCCCAGAGCTCCCTAGATCTTGCTGGAGGGAAACTCAAGAAAACGAAAAGCAAGTCTGCCTCTCACGACAGGTGGAACCTGTAGAGTCTCTGCCTCTGGGTCGTTCAGGCTGCCATTAAACAAATTCAGAGATTGTTAGCTACTGAGCGTCACTGCATGACATGTACAGGGCAAGGCCCCCCTCGTGGGCATGCACCAGAGACACAGTGGGGACTGAGGCGAGCAGTGTGTGTTGGACCCATGCTTGTTCTATTCAGTGGTCTTTTCCCCAATCCCGCTCCCTGCCACAGTGCCTGCTTCCAGCTTTACATCTCAAAGGACGCTATCCATTCTGCAGATGGAAAGCTATCTTGACCTTCTGCCAGGGTTGGAATTGAGGCACCCAGATCCTGGCTTTTGGCTCCAGTCCTGGCCTGGCCAAGCACTGTTCCTCCCTCATGCCACTGAACTGGACCCAGGTGACCCTCCTCCTCTCACCTCTGTGGCCCTCTAGGTGCTGGTTTGGCAAAAGGCCTGGGGTGTACACGGACTACATCTACCAGGGCCCCATGATCTTGGTCCTGCTGGTAAGAACTTGGGTAGGGGGACAGGAGAGAGGGGCTCAGTGGGGAGGGGCAAGCAAGGCTTACAGTGGACTAAAAGGATCCCTCTACCTAGAAGTGGCGGGCAGAGGGCCAGGAATATATAAGGGCTCATGAAGGTGGAGGGAGAGCAGCAAGGGGGCAGAGACCAGACCTGGGACAGCTGAGTCCCTGCCCTGTCCCCCACCTTCCCTCCAGCATCTTGCACACACCCATGCCCAGGCCATCCCACCGTGTGTCAAATTACAGATCAATTTCATCTTCCTTTTCAACATCGTCCGCATCCTCATGACCAAACTCCGGGCATCCACCACGTCTGAGACCATTCAGTACAGGTAACCAGACCTGCCTCCCCCACACATGGGGCGCTTCAGAGATCCCAGCCTCGGACCCAGGGTGTACCCCCGGGCCTGAGAGTCCCTCCTGAAACCCCAGATCCCCTTGTCTCAGACATTCCAGGGATCTGCTACAGCCCTCCCCCAGACCCGGTCCTTCTCACCAAGCCAGAGGCCCCAGCCCCATCCCGGGTGGGCTGTGACTCTGGGCCTCCCCCCCTACCTGCCCCACCCCAGGAAGGCTGTGAAGGCCACCCTGGTGCTGCTACCCCTCCTGGGCATCACGTACATGCTGTTCTTCGTGAACCCCGGGGAGGACGAGGTCTCCCGGGTCGTCTTCATCTACTTCAACTCCTTCCTGGAATCCTTCCAGGTACAGCCGTCCCCCACCCCAGCCCCTCGCTCCAGCCCTGACTGTCCCCTGCACCTCTTCGGGTGGGAACTCTTCCAGGCAGGGGCCTGGAGGAGTGGGAGGCTGGGGACAGAAAGGGGTCAGCCCCAAAGCTGGATGGGGCCGCACCTGCCCCCGTCCCTTGACCCACCTTCTCCCTCCACGCCAGGGTTTCTTCGTATCTGTGTTCTACTGCTTCCTCAACAGCGAGGTAAGGACCTGGGGCCCCAGGACTCAGGACGGCAGGAGCCCTGCTGGGACCAGAGACTGTCCGTAGCCTCCTCCTGCCCGAGGTGGCAAGCCCACTTCTTTGCTCTCATAGGCAGTAGGTGTGGGAGCCAGAAGCCGGGGCTCCAGTCTCATCAATGAGTCTGTGAAATGGGCTGTTGAAAACCAGGAAGCTGAGCCCTGGGACAAGGGGTGTATGTAGGTTGAGGGCAGGAAATGTGTATGGGTTGAGGGTAGAGATTCTTCATGGCAAAGGCCATATGGCACCTTTGGGTGGATTTGAGAAAGGTACCCTTTGCTCAGAACGCTTGAGAAAATTGTCCTAACAAATATGCAAATCAACAATGTTGATGATGTGAATGTTGCCACCTCCGACGTGGCCCCCTGTGCACAGCTCCCCGTATGGCTGCTTGTGGAGCCCTGGGGGAGGGAGGGGGGTCCTGAAACCCCGGCTCAGCCCTTATGCTCTGCTCTGTGCCCACAGGTCCGCTCTGCCATCCGGAAAAGGTGGCACCGATGGCAGGACAAGCACTCGATCCGCGCCCGCGTGGCCCGCGCCATGTCCATCCCCACCTCCCCCACCCGTGTCAGCTTTCACAGCATCAAACAGTCCACAGCAGTCTGAGCTGGAGGGCTGTGGAGTGGCCCCCAAGATCCACGGCTGGGGAGATGGTCGCCAGGCTCAGCTGGCCACCCTGTCTGTGGAGGGGACCAGCTCTCTCCCACACCCTGTGCCCCCAGGAGTAGCTGGCTGGCACTGAGAGCCCGGGAGGCCCCTCCCGCACCCCCAGCTGAGCAGGAGTTCCAGGCCTCTGAGAGCAGTCTGGGCCACGGGATGAATGGAAGATAACCTATAGGCCTGCGCTGGGCCCAGGGCCTCTGGCTCCCCTTTGTCCCAAGAATGGAACAGAAATGGAGTGGAGATGGAGAGCAGGGAATCCAAAGCAGCATGTGGGTCCCTCCAAGAGGTGTTTGCTTCCAGAGCACAAGATGGCAGCCCATTGGAGACCCCGGGATGTCCTCAGCGACTGTGCGGGGCCATCCACTCCTCCAGGAGAATCATGGGAAACTCTTGTGACAGCGTTCAAGCCACGGTGATGATGCCTCCAGGCCTTAGCAGTGCTTTCCAACACCACTGGGAACCAAGGCCGTGTTGTCAGAAGCCCTGCTGACATTGTTAGAAGTCAGGCGGCATCATCAGACATCAGGCCACGTCACCGAAATCCTCCCAAGCCACCGGAAATTCGTGTGACCCTGTTGCACTGCCACCAGAAATGCCCTGCCTCGCTGCCTCACACCCTTGGACCTTTACTACCGCACAGCCCACATGGGTTCCCCCTCCTTAACCTCCTGCCCCAGGTGTCTCCCCCTTCGTGAGATGATGGGGAGGTGGGAGGGTGACAGAGTGTCCTTGAGCAAAAGCCAGTGTGTGCCCCAGCCAAAGCCAGCCTCCCTTTGAGGGGCAGAGAATACTGGGGGCCACCCAGCCTGCTGTTTTCAGTGACCTGGCCTCTGGGGCAACCCCTCTGCTGGTCAAAGGGACCCTGTGGCCCTTGGATGACCTCATTGGGAAGCATCATTAGCTAAGCAAAGATAGAAGAGTGTGGGGCACTCAGCCCCCCTCTGCCTCAAGTTCCCCAGAGCAGGACAAGTGGCTCCTGGGGCAACCAGCCAGCTGACCGCTTACACCCCTGGTAAGGACCCAGCCACATCCAGAGATACTGGACAGCCGGAGCAGGGCTTTGGGGGAGTGGGGCTGGGAGATGGGGGTGGCTAGTGTAAATAATAATGTTTATCTTTCAACCAGCACTTGTGAAGCCTGGTATGTGCTAGGGCTGGGTAGGGAGGGTACCACAAAGAAATGGAGGCCACTTTCAGCCTTTAGGGTCACCGTGTGGTTGGGGAACCAGTGGCACTCAGACACACGCCAATGATGGGGCGCTAGGGGAGCCCCTGAGGTCCAGGAGAGGACTTAGGAGAAGGGCATGGGTCTGTGGGGACCAGGTAAGGGCAGCTTTTGTAAGGGGGCGAGTTGTAGGGAGAAGGTGGAGGACACCACGGGCCGGGCACAGCTTGAGCACAGGGACCAGACCGAAGTGTGTCCCAGCCCCAGGGGAGGAGATAAGCTGGGAACAGGAAGGAATTAGGAAGCAGGGAAGGCCGAACAGGCTTGAATGCTGTCTTAGCATGGAAACCCCAGAAGCATACCAAGAGACAAGGCTTCGAGAACCAACTCCAGGGTAGGGGCGCACACGCCCACCACCGTGGGCAGCTGCAGCCAGTCCTGCTGCGGAAGCTGGGAGAGCCGGGTGGGACCCACACCTGCGCCGTCCCACCTGAGGGGCCAGGGATGTGTATCCACCAGCTCCTGGGGGACAGTAAATCCCTGCACCTCCTGCGGAGTCCGGGAGAGTGCCGGGCACAACGTGGGCCACGTCCTCGGGGCAGGAGGTGGTTGGGGCACAGACGCTCCACCCAACACACTCAGGCCCGGGCCTTGCCTCTGAGTCTCTGACCTGGAAAGAGGGCCACGCAGGGGTGTGTGTGTATGCACGAGTGCATGCGCACACATGTGCACACGGGTGCGTGTGCTATCAGGACACCAGGACAGACAGATGACCGCGGTGCTGGGAGCCCCGCAGCTTCGACTGGGGCAGGGGAGGTCCAGTGGGTGAGGATCTGACTGCTCCCCGAGGGAGGAGCTGGGGGTGTCCCTGAAGGCCATGTGGGGTACCCTGCTCTGCTAACTCCCCAAGCGCTGTCCCCTTAAAGAGGGAGATGGGGGGACCAGCTGAGCAGAGGAAGCCATGAGAATAGGACCAGGGGCACCAAGACGGAGATATGCTGACAGCTTCCAGAGCAGCTGGGGTGGGACAGCCGCACAAAGGGTCCTAGCTGACAAGGGGGACCAGAAGTGACTTGAGTCTCAAATGGCCACAAGTGAGGCGCCTTTCTCAACGTTGCCTTCCACCCAATGAAGGAGAAGGGAGAAAGCAAGGCATTTCATGGACAATGTTGGGATGTGGGGGGCTGGGGGCATCCCAAGGACAGAGGAGCCTGAGAGGGGCTGGGGGCGACTGTGAGGGGGTTTTATAGGCAAGGGGTCTTGAAGGGGCCAAGCTGGGGCGGTGCCCCTTTTCCTGCTTGTGCCTCCAGGCTGTTTTAGCTGATGGGCACCCTTCGCATGCCTACTGTGCTCTCAGCTCTGTGGGCGGGGGCAGGCGAGCAGCACCCCCAGGACGTACGCCACACAGCCTGCAAAGCTCAGAGCTGCCGGCTCTGGAAGGTTGTGGGAGGACATCCAAGGCGAGGCTGGGGCTCATCACAGAAGACACAAGGGGTCCCTGAGCCATGGGCGCTGTTTCAGATGAACCTCAGGATCCCTCTCGTCCAGAGACTGTAAGGGTAGAGGGGCTGCTGCAGCACAGCTGGAAACAACTGGGCTGCAAAGAACTGCAGCCCCTCCTGCCAGGGGCAGGTGTGCCGAGTTTAACCCTTCCATGGGCTGCAGGGCAGGAATCAAGGCAGGCCCCCGATGGGATTTCTGAGTCATTCTGCCCTGAGCTTCGACTTGTGGGTGGGTGGGAAGGGAGGTCCCTTGGGGCTGTGGCTGTGTGATGGGCCAACAGACACACATGTCACCCCACTGTGGGAAGGAGCCGAGCAGCTGCAGGGTGGGGATCACTGCGGGACAGGCCCCTCTCTCAAGCTGGGAAGAATTTTTCTCCAGGGGCTTCCCTGGTGGCGCAGTGGTTGAGAGTCCACCTGCCGATGCAGGGGACATGGGTTCGTGCCCCGGTCTGAGAAGATCCCACATGCCATGGAGCGGCTGGGCCCATGAGCCATGGCCACCAAGCCTGCGTGTCCAGAGCCTGTGCTCTGCAACGGGAGAGGCCACAACAGTGAGAGGCCCACGTACCACAAAAAAAAAAAAAAAAAAAAGAATTTTTCTCCATGCCACACTCAGAGGCTGCAGTTCCCTAAAAGTTCCCCCACCTGAGCCCTTTTCTCGTTGGGTCCCTCCCTCATGGGCACAGATCACCAGTACAGGAAAAACCACCCTGTGGGGTTTGGGTTTTCCAGTTCTGGCTCCCTCCTCCCTGAGTGTGAAGGTATAGCCCCTGCTTTGGGGTCCTCGGCTTCCCCTGCAAGGCCTCCTCAGTCCCCCTGCTGCTGATGGGACCCAGACTGGGACCCTGACAGACACCCTGGGACCGGAAGTCAGGGCAGAGGGTGCAGATCGAGGAGGGAGGGAGGTTTTGGAATCCAGATAATAATTAATTGAGGACATTTGTAGATTGCTTTGCAATCCACAAAATCCTTTATAGCGTTCACGGAAGTAGGGAACAGAACCAGCCCATTTTACAGCTGAGAAAACTGAGGCCAAGCGACTCCCCTGAGATCAAAGGTCTCTGGCTCCACATCCAGGCCTCTTTCTACCCCATCAGTGGACTGAAGTCACTGGATTTGGGTTTGGGGAGGCCAGGACTGATAAAGCAGCTCTGCGGGGAGGGGACAGCGAGGAGGCCTCGGGGATTCAGATCGGGGACGTGTCCCAGGCAAAGACGAAACCAGCCCAAAGACGGCCCGGCCAGTGTCTGTCTGCTGAGCCCAGCTGGGTGGGAGCGATGAGGGTTCTGTATATCCAGCAACCCCTTCCCCACCTTCCCGACATCCTGCACCCCTCCACTCCTTACAATGATGCTTAACTGCAAACAGTACAGCCCAGGTCACCAGGAGCCTCTGTGGGTCTCCCTGCCCAGCCCATGTGAGGATGTCACTGGCCTCCAGCTCAGGGGTCTCTCAAGCTCATCTCTTCCAGCCCCCTGACTTCAAACTGACCTGCCCACCCTTGGTTCAAACAGAGGGGGTGCTTCGTACATTTCAGCAATACTATCACTGAGCACTCACCGGGAGCCCCCTTGCTAAGCCCCTTACATACTGGCCTCATCTACTCTTCATACCACCCTATGAGGAAGGAGCTGTTATCCCCATTTAACATATGGGGAAAGCGATGCCCAGAGAGGTTGGGACGTGCCCAGCAGTGGCATGGCTGGATGTGAACCCAGTCTGGCCTCACTTGGCCCCCACGGTGTTTAACCCCTGTGCAGCAGGAGTTCTTTGCAGAGTTCTCCTCACTGACCCACTGCTCCGTCCAATCCTCTTCCTACGGAAATTCTTGTTTCTCCAATTTTGTGGACGAACGGTGTTCAGAGACGAAGCTGGATGCAGGAGTTTGTGCCCGCCAAGCGTGGCCTCAGGTGGGCCCACTGCCTAACCCGCCAGCCCAGCCTCCAGGCCAGTCCCAGGCTGCCTGCCTCCCGGCGTCCCCAGCCCTGTCCCTGCTCCATTTCAGAGCATCACCTCCTCTTTCCTACCTTCCACGGCCCCGCTACCCCTGCAGACCCTGCTGGGCAGGCTTGGGTCAAGAGAGTCCTGGACCAAGTATAGTTTTCAAAGCTTTCAGTGTGTTGAAAACACCAATGAGATCATCATTTGGAAATAACTCCAGAGACCACCTTTGGCCACCAGGCTGCCACCCACCCCCTCTGCCCCTCCAAGGGGTCCAGGACAGATGCCTGCTGCCCAGCCTCATTGCCCACTGGTCCAAGGCAGGTGGGGGCAGAAGCAGCATGCTCCTGCCTCTCTTGCTTTCATTACTGGGATTTCGGGGGAAGGAGAAGACGGTAATCTGGTCCCTTCTCGGTGTCTGTACCATCTCTAGAACATGCAGCTAGGACAGATCTGGGCCAGGAAACAAGGGCAGTGCACGGGCCCTGTGAGCTGGGCACCATCCCACACTTCCTGAGCAACCCCACTGGGCTGAGACCCATTGCCTGGGACCTGCTGCCCTGTCTGCCCTGAGTGGATAAAGATAAGTGTTCCGGGTGCCACCTACATCCCCACACAGAAGGCAGAGACACTGCCCCTGGCCTGCCCTGGGCAGCGACCCTGAGAACCCAGGCCATAGCTAAGGGGGGCAGTGGGGAAGGAACAGAAGCTTCAGATCGGGGGATGCCCTCAAGGAAAGGGGTGCGATCTGGGGAGGGCGTAGGGGACAGTGGGTGATGCAGGGTCTTAGAGCAGAAACACAGCCTGGGGAGTGGGCATCGGCCACTTGTGTGACTACGCCTACCAGGGCATCCTGCAGGGCGTTGTCAGGGCACCAAGCAGCCACAGAGAGGAGCAATTCCATGGCTGGGGGCTGGGGGCTGGGGGCTGGTGCTGGGAGATGGGGTGGGGGGATCTGGGGAAGCAGCAATTGGACAGACACCCAAAAGCCTTCTGTGAGCTGGGTCCCAGGAAGAGCCTCAAAGGAAATGAGCCTCCAGAGAATTCGTTGAGCCCAGGCCACCAGGACCCTAAGGGTAGATCGGGGTGGCGGAGAGGCAGGAGCAGGCTCTGGGGGGCCCGTGTTTTTGAACCCCAAATGGGGGCCTATGCTGGTCTGATTGGGTCCAGAAGAATTACAAGGGGGCCTGTCCTGAGCACAGTGCCCTGGAGGGGACCGGAGCTGCTCCTTGCTTTGTTCTTTTGAAAATCGTGGTAAAACACACACAATATAAAACTTACCATTTCAACCGATTCAACACATTAAAGACACTCACAGTGTTGTGCAACCATCACCTCTATCCAGTTCCAGAGCTTTTTCATCACCCTGAGGAAACCCCGGACACATTGAGCAGTCACTCCCCGTCCCCCCTCCCCCAGCCTCCAGCCACCACCAGCCTGCTTTCTGTCCTACGATTTGCCTGTTCAGGAAATTTCATAAAAGTAGAGTCGTGTGATATTTGTCCTTTTGTGTCTGGCTTCTTTCCGTTGCTTCATGTTTTCAAGGTTCATCCACATCGTACGGGTACATCAGAGCTTCACTCCTTTGTAGGGCAGAATGATGCTCCATCGTACGGGTAGACTAGGGCAGAATGATGCTCCATCGTACGGGTAGACTGCACTTTCTTTATCTGTTCATCAGCTGAAGGGCATTTGGGTTCTTTTCATCTATTCCAAGTTATTGTGAAGAGTGCTGCTTCAAACATTCAAGTACAAGTTTTTGTTTGAACACCTGTTTTCCATTCTTTTGGGTATATGCCCAGGAGTGGAACTGCTGGGTCATATGGTAACTTTCTGTTTAACTTATCAAGGAACGGCCAAGTGTTTTCCACAGTGACTGGATATTCCCGCCAGCAACGTACGAGAATCCCGATTTCTCCATATCCGTGCCAAAACCTGTTATTATCTGTTTTATTTTATTTTTTTTTTATAATACTACCCCAGTAGCTGCCTTAGTCTTTGGTTTTTTAAAAGACCCAGAGACTTCTCTGGTGGCACAGTGGTTAAGAATCCGCCTGCCAATGTAGGAGACAAGGGTTCGAGCCCTGGTCCGGGAAGATCCCACATGCCGCGGAGCAACTAAGCCTGTGCGCCACAACTATTGAAGCCCGCGTGCCTCAACTACTGAAGCCCGCGCTCCTAGAGCCCGTGCTCCGCAACCAGAGAAGCCACTGCAATGAGAAGCCCGCTCACCGCAACGAAGAGTAGCCCCTGCTCGCCACAACTAGAGAAAGCCCACGCACAGCAACGAAGACAAAAAAAAGAACAGGGCCT